AGAAGTCAATAAATTTTATATATCGCGATTCTTTGTCATTTTTTCCTACGTAATTCCGCGTCACAAAATATATATGTAAATATGCAAAAAGTTATGCATATATGCTTGTACACATATATATCAGTGCTTCATTATTAACTTCTTAGCAACATTATAGGAATCTTTATTCTCGATTTCTACCCTGCTTGCCTTGGGGTGATGACTAATAAACTATCTAATAAAAGTAACACTAACGCACAAAGATGGTAGATACTGCTCACAATGAGATTTTATTTTAAAATCTCTGTTAATATCGTAATCCGACGAGATCGCACATCGAACTTAAACACTAAAATTCACAACTGAGCAGCACAAATCCTGATACTCCCTGTATTAAGATCTCCAAAGTTAATAGTTATTTTGCTTAAATTGCATTTCTAAACTATCTTAAATACTACACTATAGATCCCAGCATAACAGGTAACAGATAACAGTATACATATAATTTGTGCAAACGACAATTACAGTTCTTCTCCAACTATATTTTAATCGAAGCTTGTTTTTTTGCATAAGCGAATATATTGGATATGATATTTAATTAGGTTCCATTTGTTGTACAGAGATCTATTGGAATGCAAAGAAATATATAAGTATATATAACATTTCAATCTGAATTTCATTGTATGCCTCTTTCTTTATATACAATAATGCACCCTTCCAGCATTTACCAACTTTCATAGTGAAATAGTTTTTCCTCTATATACGTGTGTGTGTGTGTGTGTGTGTGTTATGTATGTGTATACCAACTTAATTACTTTACACCATTGTTTTCGTACTTTTCACAAACAATATAATTCAAATTTATCAAGTTGGTCCTAATTGTGATGCACATTTTTTGTTTTTTAATCAAAACCACAAAATGTAAAGAAAGCATAGTTACTATCACTTGCTAATTGTCTGTTATTTTATCTATATTAACAATAACACTGAACGTTAGTAAATTACCACAAAATTAGTTTTCAATTGCAGAATTGCTAAAATACTTTCGTTTAATTTTTCTTATTATTATACATTGTATATTTGGGCTTCAAGAACTTCAACCACATTGCATAAATTCGTCAAAGCAGCAATTATTACATAAATGTAACGACATTCCTTCTTTTAAACCATAACATACTGAGTCTAACACGCAAACCATAAACTGCTTGTCATCAGACTTGCAAGTTTTGTGTCAAATGTTCTTGTTTGTGTAATGCAGCAAACATTCTGAACGGCTTATTTATAAATTTTAATATCGAACTACTATGGTGTTAAATAACAATTACATTTTTTCCACCTATATTCATTTTTATCGAACTGTACTCTTTTTTTGTATATTTTATACATCATATAGGTTGAACTGATTCGTATCAGTTCTCTCTTATCATTGGCTATATTATAATCTTTGACTGTAGATACATTTAAAACGCTCGTAAATGTAAATAAATTAAAGTAATAAGTAACTGTAATAGACACTGAATCTAAACACTTAAATTCTGGAAATTGTCCCGATCCTGCAGGATCGCCTATGACAAAACATATGTGAGTGTATTTCCATAGGTATGTGTATGTATCCGAGACATATGAGGAAATTGATTTAACCATTCATAATAGAAGCTGTCAAAGCTTCAATCATCAGCTCGCATACCTCTTACTTCACCTTGATGTCTTTGCTGAAAAATTTAAAGGTCCTCTTTAACTAACTGCAAACTGTAACCAGTAACTACAGTAAGTTAAACTGAAGCAATTATTTACCCTATCTAATTCTTCTTTTGTGCTCTCTTCAATTGCCCTAATATCATCCATAGTTAAACCATACCAACGATCTATCCAACAAAACACTTGCCTATGAAAGTTAGTAAAAAGACGCCTTTCTGCTTTCTGAATAAAACTTTCAACACGGGTTTGTAGCCCAAACCATTTAAATTCACAAGTGACTAGCTTATAGCATGTCATCACAGGTTGAACTTTATTCTTCCAATCTTTACCAACAAGTGGACCCCGACCTGTCTTCACAGATTTGAATTTAGTTGGATCTTCATCTTCTTTATAATCAGCACTTCCAATTGGATCATTTGCAATATCTATATGTATCACTTCTCTTATTTTTAACTTATCAGAAGACAATTCATGAACCTGTTAAAAACTAATAATATAATATACATAGAATAAAATTACATATTTTCTAAAGTTTTTGTACATACATTATGTTGATTTCCAACATCGTCAATGTGAAATGATTCTATCATAATTACAAAATTTTCTTTCATGTATCCAGGATTCTGCACAGAAAATGGTAACATAAAAATACAAATTAGAAAACCAAAAAATTTTTTAAAAATAATAATTGAAAAAACTAGGAATAATTGTATTAATATTATTACAAAAATAATACTTACAGTAATAACTGTTTTGCAATAAGGATAAGCATTCCAAGCTTCTTCGTGAATTTCCAAGGAATTCTTTGGTAGCATAATGCGAATAAAACCAGGCACTTTACTAGCTAAATGATAAATCTTGTATGTATATTGACCTGAAGAATATTTTCCACCAAGCAAGGGATAATCTGTGAATGGCTCATTTTTTAACACTTCTATACCCTCTCCTCCTCCAGTATTATTTTTGCTAGCTTCTGCTACAGAATACAGCTGAGCCACTTGATACTGCCATGAAGTAAATCATATTTCATAATACAATATATACATGATAAAATTAAGCTATAGACAACATAAAATTTATTTCGATTAAAAAACATTTATTAAATTAGTGGAATCTGTTTATAGACCCACACATTTCTTTTAAATACTTTTTTGTTTTATGAGGAAAATTGAATTATATATAATTTATTAAAGAAAACACTATCACCTCTATACCTCTAAATAATTTTCTTTCCACAGAAAGCATAAAAATAAAAAAACTAGCATTCATAAATATATTAATACCTAAACTAAACAATTAAAGATTAGATCACAATAATCAGAATAAGAAAAAATATTTATTACATCATAAACTTGAATAACAACGAGTCTAACAATGAAATTAGCATGATTCAACAACATTTGACAGATACATTGAGTTAAAAAACCAAAACAACATTCATAATAATCACATGCTTCTAAATAAACGTTAATTAAATGAGTTGCAATTTTTACCAATTGCATAGTAATGATGTAAAAGCTAATTTAAGGTAGTTTTTCTTTTTCTAACTAAATAACACATTTCAAAGTGGGTCATTATAATGAAACTTTACTGTTCATCAAATACATACCTCTTCCACTGTAAGAGGTACAGTGACACGACTGTAACAAAGAGATTAACAAATTACATTTATCAATTAATAAGTAAAAATTATAAGATATGAATCATCTATCTATATGCAGTGGCCTTGAGTACACTCAAGTATGAAATCAAATATCATACATCAGGTATAGAAAACCGAACAACAGATAATACCGAAAGATGAAAAATAAAAGATGAATTTTTTTGAAAATGTTCCTTATTGGTCAAAGTAAGAATGAAGTTGTTCACACTGTACAAAATTCTGGTCATACGAATGGTAAGGGATGAAAGTACATCCCTCTTTGCCCCTCCAATCCAACCCGCCGTTAAAGATTAGTAACCATATCCCGAGAATTGAATTGGTTTTAAATGTACGATCGGTAATCGTTTATCGTGTTGTATTAAACTAACAGTAAAGAATCTCACAAGAACTTACAATTCTTTGATGAGCATTTTAACAAGCAGAGCACATGGGCTGCAGTAATTTCAGTGCGACCACACAGAACCACCCTTGCTTCAGCAAATTCACTCGTGTTATCTCTCAGCCCGCAGTCATACGCATACAACAGTGCTGACTTCCCAACCGACTGCCACACACTCGAATCACTCAGTAGTTACTACACGGCCGCAGCCACCAAAAAGCACATATACTTGCGCACACGTGCACATCGAATTTCCCCTACCATCTCACAGGCATTTTGCAAATGACGTCATGCTTACATGCATCTTAGTTCGCATGCGCATCTATCATCTATCAAGTTTACAATTATTTAGTCTGGGGATTTTAGACAGAATTTTGTTTATGTACAAACACTTCAAAGCAATTGTAAAAATTATGACTCTTAATGCATTTTGTATGTATTGTTGAAAAAATATATATGTACGTTACAATTTTTACTTAATTCAATTTCAATTTTATTTAAATGTGTTTCATACATATAAGTAGAATTTGAAATCAAAAAACTACAAAATTCACGACGATTTTCATGAAAATTGAAAATAAAGAATTACAAAATTTACAAGTGGTAAACTTCATTTAAATCGAATAAATATTTAGTTTCAACCAGATTTTTTTTTCAGCTAAGTTAAATTTTCATTTTTATTTTGTATTTCTGACTTTAGTTTTATGAACGATATGTACGTGAATTGTCATATAAATAAAAGTAGTTTACAATGTTAGTATGCTTAACTTTTATAATACTTAATTC